TTTTTGTCTAGTTTATTTTATTATAAAAATAAAGCCTATACTACACACAACATACAAAATATGTGTCAGTCCCTATTTATGTCATCAGTAAGACTTCTTGTCAATACTACGCTTATTGGTAGCTAAGTTTTTGGAGATTCAGAAGTTATGTGGATTTTCTACTGCCTAGGGGTGGTGGTCAATGTCCCTAAGTCTCATCTATTCAAAGGTCAACTGTAGACTGAATGTGGAAGTATGGAAAAAGACATCCCATGCAAACAAAACCCAAATGTGAGTAGATGTAGCCATTTTTATATTGGATAAAACAGACTTTAAGTAAACAAATGTAAAAAGAGACAACGAAGGTCATTATACTGTGATAACGGGATCAATTCAGAAAGCAGATATAACAGTTATAAACATATATGTACTTAACCCTGGAGCACCTAGATATTCAAAGCAAATATTACTAGATTTAAAGGGAGAAATAGACTCTAGTACAATAATAATTGGGTGCTTAACACCCCTCTAAGCATCAGATAGATCATCTAGACAGAAAATAAAGAATCATTGGATTTAAACTACACTTTAATCAAACTCTCAGCAAGTTAGGTAAGAGGGAACATACACAGTCAAAGTCATATATGAGAAAACCATAGCCAACATTATACTGAACTGGGGAACTGGGGAAAGTTGCAAAGTTTTTCTTTAGGTCTGGAACAAGACAAGAATGACCCCTTTTTTCAATAGCGCTAGAAATTTTAGCCAGAGAAATTGGGCAAGAGAAAGAAATTAATGGCATCCAAATTGAAAAGGAAGAAGTCAAATAGTGTGTCTTTGCAGACAACATTATCTTATATAAATAAAACTTTAAAAGCTTTAAAAACAACAACAGCAACAACAACAAACCTTTGAACTTACAATTTAATTCAGTAAAGTTGCAGGATACAAAATAAACTTAGGAAAATCAGTGGTGTTTCTGTATACCAGCATTCAAATAGCAGAAAAAGAAATTAAGAAAGCAATCTCAGGTACAGTAGCTACAAAAAGTAAAATACCTGGGAAAAAATTTAACCAAGGAAATGAAATATCGCTAAAGGAAAGCTATAAAACACTGATGAAAGAAATTGAAAAGGGCACACGTGCAAATAAAAAAGCGTTGTATTTTCATGAATTGGAAGAATTAATGTTGTGAAAAGGGCCATACTACAAAAAGCAATATATACCTTCAGTGCATTCCCTATCAAAATACCAATGTCATTTATCACAGAAATAGAAAAAGCAGTCCTAAGATTTGTAAAGTACCACACAATACCCTGGATAGCCAAAGCAAGAAGAACAACGATTGATATATCACACTACCTGACTCCAAAATATACTGCAAAGCCACAATAACCTAAATAGCATGGTACTCTCATAAAAACAGATACATAGACCAATGGAAAAGAATATAGAACCCAGAAATAAATCTCGTATTTACGGCCAACTCATTTTCAACAAAGGCACCAAGAACATTCATTGGGAAAATGTCTCTTCAATAAATAGACATGTCACATCTCAAAAGAAGACATGGAAATGGCTAACAGGTATATGAAAAAATATTGAACATTAGTATTCATCAGGAAAATGCAAATCAAAATCATAATGAGATATTCCATCAACCTAGTTAGAATGGCTATTGTCAAAAAGACAAAACATAAATGCTAATGGGATTAGGAGAAAAAGGGAACTCTTACACATTACTGGTGGGAATGTAAATTAGTAAAGCCATTAAGGAGGCTGGGCATGGTGGCGCATGCCTGTAATTCCAACACTTTGGGAGGCCGAGGTGGGCAGGGCTTGAGCTCAGGAGTTCGAGACCAGCCTGGCCAACATGGTGAAGCCTGATCTCTACAAAAAATATAAAAATTAGCTGGGCATGATGGTGTGTGCCTGTAGTCCCTGCTACTTGGGAGGCTGAGGTGGGAGAATCACTTGATCCTGGGAGGTCAAGGCTGCAGCAAGCCAAGATTGCCCCACCACACTGCAGCCTGAGCAACAGAATGAGACCCTGTCTCAAAAATAAAATAAAATTAAATAAAAGTATAGCCACTAGCGGAAAGCAGCATGGAAGTTGCTCAAAAACTGAAAATAGAGCTCTCATATTATGCAGCAATCCTGCCACTTGGTATATATCCAGAAAAAAAGGAAATCAGTATGTTGAAGATATATCTGCACTCCCATGTTTATTGCAGTGCTATTCACAATAACCAAGATGTGGAATCTACCTACGTGTCCATCAACAGATGAATGGATAAAGAAAATGTGGTATATACATACAATAGAATATTCTTTTGCAATAACAATGAATGAAATTATGTTATTCATGGCAACATGGATGAGCTAGCTTGGGGACATTATGTTAAGTAAAATAAGCCAGGCATAAAAAAGATAAATACCACATGTTCTCACCCATATGTGGAAGCTAAAAAAGTTGATCTCATAGAAGTAGAGTAGAATAGTGGTTTCTAGAGGCAGGGAAGTGTGGAGGGCAGTAGGGCATAGCCAAAGGTTGGTTAACAGATGCAAAAGTACAGCTAGCTAGGATGAATATAGTGTTCTATAGCAGGATAGGGTGAATATAATTTACAACCATTTATTGTATATTTTCAAATAGCCAGAAGACTGGACTTTAAATATTTTCAATACAAAGAAATAATAAATGTTTTAGGTGTTGGATATGCTAGTTACTCTTCTTTGATCATTATATATCATATACATATGTGGAAATATACTGTATCTTATAAACATGTACAGTTATTATGCATAATCTAAGAGTAATAATAAAAGCCCCAAACACACATATTTCCTTTGTGCCTTTTGTCAAATTATAAAAAGGAAAAGTGCTATAGGAAAATTAATCTAGCAAAATGGCTTAGAGTGGATAGGAAGATATGAACTAGTGTTGAGGAGGGGAGACTTGCTAGATCAGTGGTTAATTCCTAAAGTAATCATATGCACTGTAGAGAAGAGATAGTGGTAGGAATATAAATACATAAATGCATGAGACTTTCAGAAAGTAATGATAGTCTTGGTGACTGTAGATCTGGGGAGGTAGGATGACTCTGAAGTTTGGCAGTAAAGTGACAGGAGATGTTAATGATGCATCTGAAATAGGAATTCTCCTCCATGAGCTAGTTTTTCAGGGAAGGCAATCACTGTGGTTTTGACATGTTGAATGTGTGACATGGGGCATCTGTCAAACAGGATTGTTAACTTTTTGCTTTATTCTGCTTCTCTGCATATGTCCACCTTTCTAGGGGATGATAGGTACAGGGGCACCATTCAGAGAGCAGACTGCCTTGATTGCCAAGAGCCCATGCAAGATCTCAGGAAAGTCAGACTCTCATCCTCAGTGTGGGATTCCGTTTTCTGTTGGTGTCTTTCAAATGGTGGGTGGGTTTCTGAGATAATGTGGATATGTAACAGCATGTCCTATAACTGGCAATGACTTGACCACTGTCTATGAGAGAAGCACAGGACAGAGTATCCAAAAGCTCTCTTGAGAGCTTTAACACTTCACACGAAACTCAGACCCTTCCCTTTCATTCAGAACATGAGCAGCATATCCCTTCTGGACGTCTCCCTAGACCTTCCCTCAAAATGAGCTAACTGTGTGAGCTGCTTCTGGTTATGGTTTACTTTATATTTTTTTCTCATTATGTTGTTATTATCATAGGATGGGAGGTCCTGTTGTCAAGACAGATGGCAATGTAGCTTTGAGATCATTAACTCTGCTTGGTAAGATTTCATTTGTATTTGCCTTTCTTTGCACTTGGAGTTAAAAGAATACAATCTGATCTGTAGTTATCTTGCTTTCATCTTTCCTTATTCTGTTATCCCAGTTCAAGTTCAGACCCCAGCCTCAGATGTCTGTTCTGGGTGATTGACATAGTCGCTTCTAAATGGACTAAATTACTGACACCTTTCACTTTTCCTGTATAATAGTTTATATTTGGTGATTCCTTCTCATGCAACAGAACTGTGAGGTAGCCTAAAGCCTAGGGAGGATGTCAAGTCTGTACACCTGAAATTATCATCATAGAGCTACAGAATTATCAGTGTAGAGCCTTACATATAGTCATTTTGAAGTTTTCATGTGCTGTTTCATGTGACTTCTGTCATTTAAATCTTACAACAACTTTGTGAAGTAAGCATCTTGTTTGCCTACAGTGATTGTTTGAATTAGGTTCAAAATTAATTGTACAAAAGGCTGGGAGTACAAAAGTACTTTGTAGTGGGTACAAAAGGCTGGAAAAGAAAGGCATAATTATGGGCCCCAATCACATGGTAATGTATCAAAGCCTGATTCCCAGCACTAGTAGTAATAACAGCTAATTCTTACTAAGTATTTCCTGTGTGCTGGGCACTGTTTTAAGCAATTTATATCTATTGACAGACTTAGGGTACATTTGCCACCATAACAGTTTGTTGATTGGATGATAGATATTGCTTCCAACCTCTTGCATTTTATTTTATTTATTTATTTGAGATGGAGTCTCGCTCTGTCACCCAGACTGGAGTGCTGTGGTGCCATCTCAGCTCACTGCAACCTCTGCTTCCCAGGTTCAAGTGATTCTCCTACCTCAGCTTCCTGAGTAGCTGGAATTATAGGCATATGCCACCATTCCCACCTAATTTTTGTGTTTTTAGTAGAGATGGGGTTTCACCATGTTGGTCAGGCTGGTCTCGAACTCCTGACCTGTGATCTACCCGCCTCAGCCTCCTAAAAGTGCTGGGATTACAGGTGTGAGCCACAGCTCCTGGCTTTGCATTTTAAAGGCAGAGAATGTGAAATAAGAAAAACAGCCTGCTGAGAACTAATCCCTGGGGCTCCACCTTTAACTAAAGGGCAGTGGAGAAAGTACAATAGACCAAGGAAATGGCTCAGAATTGCAGCCATGGCAGAACCGCACCTGGGAGAGTGTATTGTCTGTGAGTTGGTGAGAAAGAGGGATTCCAAAATAAACCCTTTACCCTACCTTTCCTTTAGTTGTCCAGACTGTGCTGTGCTCCTGGGCCTGGGTCTGGAGTTCCAATCCTGCTTCCCTGCCATCTAGCACACTGATACCCTCATTCAACCTTACAAAGAGTTGGAATGGTGCATTTCACTTTACTTGATTCTTGAGACAAGACTAGAGTGTTTGAAGAATATATTTTACTTAAAGAAAAAATAAATAAATAAAAAGAAACAGCTTAGAAATAAAGGAGTTTCCAGAATATAGAATTACAAACCTGATTTAACCAAAAGCTAGCCAGAAATCAACTCGATAAGTACAGTTTATCGAGCCCTTCTGGTTGGTTCCTGCTGCCCACTTAGATGCCATTTGGATGCTTAGAGACTTTTCTACTTTTAGGGAGATTCAGTTACCCCCAGAACTTGCTCTTGCTTTCTCTTTGGGGGTATATTATATAAAGCCCCTCAGGTCAGCCCCTGAAGCCCAAGGCCCTGTTTGTTCCTGTTCCTGTGTTATCCCCACATCCTTGGGTTCTGATTCCATCCCAGGCCCAGTACATGGCAAAAGCAGTTTCCCAGCTCACCATCAAAGTTCGTCTTGCCCATTACATACAACTGTGTTTTATGCCATCTGGACCTGTCTTGCAATTTGATATTTGTACTTTCTGGGGTTCTCAGTGATGTGGGGATGCAACAGTGCACAAAACAGACGCATATCACTGACTTCTTGGACATTTATTTCATTTGCATCAGTGGGACTTATATTTTGATTACATTTGGAATCAAAATATAATTGTATTATGTAGTTGTCAGTATAAGAATTTACTTAGGGGCTGGGCATGGTGGCTCACGCCTGTAATCCCAACACTGTGGGAGGCTGAGGTGGACAGATTACTTGAGGCCAGGAGTTTGAGACCAGCCTGGCCAACCTGGTGAACCTCGTCTTTACTAAAAATACAAAAATTAGACGGACACTGTGGTGGATGCCTGTAATCCCAACTACCTGGGAGGCTGAGATGTGAGAATCGCTTGAACCTGGGAGGTGGAGGTTGCAATGAGCCGAGATCATGCCACTGCACTCTAACCTGGGTGACAGAGTAAGACCCTGTCTCAAAAAAAAGAATTTACTTAGGATAATATTGGGAACAACTGGAAATAACCAGACTACTCAACAATGACTAAATTGTATTACTAATGATATATTCATTAAAAAATGTTTATATGGTTTATATTAATAGAAAATAAAGTTGTGTGTTTATGTTTATGATTGTAAATAAGTCACTGCAAATAATCAACAGGGAAAGAAAGATTAAAATTCTTCAACTGTGCTAGAAAAAAACATAATGCAACATAAAGTAAAAGAGTGGCTTTGTTTGTTCTCTTCTGCTCTTCTGTATATTCACATGTGGGCTGCCAGCTAAATACCCCTTTTTCTAAACTTTGGTCTGAGGGATGTTTTTTCTTCTATCTTTTAACTGTGTGTTGGCTAGGTTGCTTAAACTTTCTCTATATTCTTCATTTGTAAAAAGGAATTAATACTTAACATATCCCAAAGTTAAGGTGAGGATGTTTTTCTCAAAAAGATATCAGAAAAAAGGGAGTGGTCTTCCATTAATTTCTTCAAGTGTTCTGTATTAGGGATGCTCTTGATTATTTTGATTAACAAAGAATTATTTGGAGAAAACACATGAGCTTGAAATAACTACAGATAATGCCAGTTTGGGATACTTATGGAGATTACTAAAACAGGTTAAAAAGAGGGAGCAAACAAATTGAACACACATTTGGTAATTATTTCTGGGGAAATGTTCTCAGAGGTGGAAGTGTTGGATGTTGGAGAAACTACCTTCATAAAGATGACTTTTATAGGTCATACATGCAGTAAGTGATATTCAGATCACTGCTAGTGAATGGATACTGTAGGTTAGGATAGAATTTCTAGTTACAGCATCACACATTTAAAAATTGCTGTATCTCAAATAACTTAAGACAGAACTGAAGATGCAAGATGAGGAGCCTCTAGTGGTAGCAAAGATCCTTATGACAAATTACCCATGAAAAGCTTGAACAGAATCATTTCCTGAAGTGTAAGTGAATGAAAACAAGCATTTATTTATTGTTTTAACGTATTATGTGATTTTTATATATACAAATTAACATAATAAGGAAAATATTGTAAGGAGCCATTTGATTATTTCATCCATCCTAAAAATTTAAATATTCAATATGGCCAATAACTTTTTGGCCCATTGGAATTTATGAACTACTTAATAGCTATTTTAGAGTTGCCTTATATTTAGGTATACCTGACATCTATCTGGTAGGGAGGTTTTAAGGATTAAATGAAACAGTTAATTGGGTGTCTACTGTGTAGCAAGCATTATCTATGTAAGCTCTGGGTTAACAGGGACTGACAGAGATCTGCTATGAGATCTGCTTCCTGATCTTCTTTGATCTTTCCTTCCTATCACAGGCTGGGTTAGGGCACAGAAGAAACTGGTAGTTGAGAGTTTCTTAGAAAGTGATAGGGGAGGAGTTAGAGGTGAAAAGCATCTTGTTTGGCCCCTGGAAGACAGGAATCCCTAAACATTAATTGTGACTTTCTGCCACTCGACCCCTTTTCTATTTGTTCTCCCCTCCCACTCTAACCCCCAGTGCAGTTTGTAGTGTCTTTTCTGTGCTGAGAGGGATCACACTCCGTAACTTAAGAAAATGAGCTTAGCTAACTTTGTTCATCTGTTGGGTAGACCTAGGACAATTGTAGAGCTTTGCGGGTGACTTTTATTTACCTCTTTATTACATGTAATGTTTCCAACATACAAACCTTTTATACTGTGTTTTTAAACAACCTTACCAGGAGGGTTGTATGTATACACTTTATAAATTAAATTTCACTTTTGAGGTTTTTTTTTTTTTTTTTTTTTTCCCAAAACAGTATATTAGGTTACAGAGCTGTGGAATGACTATGATTTTTATCAGGTTTTGGTTTTTCACCTCTCTCCACTCTGCTCACTTGGATTTATTTCACATAACATCTTCTTGGAATTCTGATTATCTCTCTAGATTAAGCTTGGACATTTAGATGTACCTTGTAACTGGAGACAACAGACTAAAATACAAAAACTCAATTTTTATAGGCCTTAAATTGGCATTTTTTTTTTAAGATCTAAGAACCAGACTGAAAAAGTAAATACATTTGAGCTAGGAAAACTGATTTCTTATTTACTGGAACTTGCTTAATGAAGGAAAAGTTATTTCACATAAGGAATTATTGTTACCAGTTCCTTTGATAATCTTATTGTCTCCTACGTGGACCTCATAGTTTAAAAAAGGGTAACAATTAAACATAGGATGTTATGATAATAAAACTCGGTATCATGCGGTCAGTCTTGATTTGTGAAAAAGCTGTATTTCTAAAAATCTTTGTTAGTTGGATAATAATAGTTAGCTTACTTGCCTGTTTATACTACTTTATTTGAAATTTTTGAAAAATAACACATTATACAAAGAAAAATTTATTAGCAATAGTTCGTCATTTCCAAACCAAGGAGCCAAAGTGCTAGTGACTTTCAAGTCTGGAAATACATTGTGGATTTTAAATTTTGTTCCTGATAATTAGTGAGTAATAATTTGTTTCTCTTAAACCTTTGTTCTAAAATTCCTACTTGGTATTTTTAAAAATTCAGTTATGGCGAGACATAAAGACATAGAAATTGCTGTTATGAAAGAAGTTTATACTCACAGATCCCTAGACACAGGCAGCCCAGTACATTCCACAGGGTCACACAGGGAAGCACCAGGTTGGCCAAGAGCCAGAGATGGGAGATATGGATCATGGCCCAGAGGCTTTATTGTTTTTTTTGCAGAAGGGAGTGGGCAAGGCAGGGTAACCATGCTGCGTATGTTTAAGATTGGCTAGTTTGAATAATTTTGGCAGGATTTTGGCTATAGCGATGGTCCCAGTTGTCCAGGACCTGGGCCTGGGGTGATTACCTTGGTGCTTGAGAACTCCAGAGAGAAGATGGTTGGGGCCGTGGCTCTGGATTGGTTGGTTTGTATATCACAGGCGCGCTTGCAGAGGGGTCTTTTCTATATCTAGGAATTATCCCTGGGAGGAGCAGTCTTTCAACAGCCAAGGCCCCAAATGCCAGAGTATCAAGAATACAGAGAATAAGAGAATGTAATCAATACAGACAAAACAAAACAATTGAGGCTTTCAAAATGGCACTGCTAAGCAGGGGTGCTGTTTCTGTGCATGCTTTTAAGAGATGATGCCGTGAAAGACTAGAGAATATGTAAGAAATTTATTTATGAGCTTTATGTTTTGAAATGGTGTTTTAGGGGGTTAGTCAAAGAAAGGATTAACTAAAGCCTAATTTGGAAAACTTGAATTAAATAATTTGACCCATGTAAACTTCTCTCCGATGTGAAGATGGTCAGGGGTGGGGGAGGTCTGCAGTGGGTATGGGACACTTTCTGCTTTATCCCCCTAGCTTATGGGATGTCCACAGTTCTGCCTGGCTGCTTCACTTCTAGCTCTATCTTCTGAATTCCAGGCATAAGGAAGGGCAGAGTAAAAGGGTGCTTACCCCTTTTTCCTCCCCTTAGAAGGACTGGCCTTAGAAGGCTTGCCCACAAATTCAGCTTATATCTCATAGGGAATTGGTGATTCACAGATTGGTTAGTGTTTGTGTGAAGCCAACAGAGGTTACCTTTCTGCTGTTCAAACCAACTCTGAAAAAATAGCTCTTCTTTGAGAGGATTTTGAAAAGGGAAGTGGGTAGTTTTATAAAAAATGTAATCATCCTAAAAGTCATGATGATTGTAGTAACAATAATAAAACCTTGAGCTTTTATTATGTACTGGTTGCTACTCTGAGTGCTTTATACATTTGTATCTATAGTTCATTACTCCTCAGAAAACCCCATTATTATTCCTGGTTTGTTTTTTTTTTCAGACAGAAATTGAGGCTCACAGAGGTTAAATAACTTGCTCAAGGTAACAATTGGAAAATGATGGAATCCAGATTAATAGCTGAGATTGTATGCTTTAACCACATGGTTATACTGATCTGTAATTTAAACATTTCTAGCTCAGATAAGAAAACTAAAGCTGGAAGGTTTTAAGGCATTGGCCCAAGGTCACACTGGTAGTCAGCACTGAGCTTCTGCTTCTGGGTTTATTTCCACTATCCCAGTATGCTTTCTCTAGGTACACTGTCTCATCAATATCCTCTTATATTTGGGCCAGCCTTCTTGAGAGGTGGATATTTTTGGCTTGCTATGGTTCTGAATCCTGAAAATTATATTCTTTCTTTAGAGTTGTTTTGCTTGGCAAGGAATCCCTCAGGAGGCACTTTAGCTTAGAGGTAGAGAGGGTGGACTTTAGAGCCACAGTGCCTGTGTTTGAATCCTGGTTGTGCCAGCTTTAGCCATGTGATCTGGACAAGTCACATACCTCTCTTGAGTTTTAGTAAAAGTAGATGAGTTAATACAATAAAACTGCTTAGTGTAGTGCCTGGCACCTAAGTAAATACTTTGTATTCTGATTATATTATTACTTGTCAGAAATGTTCTCCAAATTACACCTAATGCATTTTCCAGCACCTTGTTTGGCACTCAGTAAATGTATATGGATTGAATGAAAGCAACTGTGAAGTGGTTTGTATTGTCAGCCCATGCATCTCATACTGATTGGAAATATTAGGTAGAAGATTGGAATTTTCATGTTACTTTTAATATTTGTATTAATAGCCAATATCACTATTAAGGACCAATAATATTACAATATCTTACTCAACTTGTTCTACTTTTCACCTCACTTCACTTTTCTGATGTATAAAACTATTTGTTTTTACATTTGGTGCTTTTACTGAGATTGTGTTGAAAGGTATTATATACATCCAAGGTACTATAGGTGATATAAAAGTTCTTGGCTTCATATTTAAAAATGGATATTATTGTTTTTGAATCTTTTCATGTCACATTTCCAAGTAACAGCAATAGCTCATTAAATATTAATTTAATCACAGGAACAAAATACGATCGTCAGTAAAATGACTTTAAATGGCAGCATCACTTAACAGTGATAAGGACTGGCAAAGCAGGATTTGTGTCATTCTGCGGCTGCTTTTGAACAATGTATTTGCCTTTGCCTTGTCCGTTAAAATCACACAAGAATTAAACCCTTTTAAAGAGAACCTACCCATCTCTTTCCCATGTGTCATTCTTGCATCAGAGAAAATGCTGCATAATACTTAGATGACAGCCCCACCTCTGATGTCACCCAGGATGGTACAATCCTCTCCAAGCCTTTGCTGGGCTTCCTGCTGCTGCACTGGGGGACATGGTTACATTAAAGCTAACTCCGGCATCTCAATTATCTCCTTGGAAGTAGTTTTCACAAATATAAAAACGCCCTACGGTGGCTGTTTTCGGTAAGCTACCAAGGTAGAGAGCAGCAGAGGCAGACAGAGGGAGAGCAAGCGGGAGAACAGGCTGCTTCCGCCTTTGTGAGAGGGACTGAGGCAGCAGCTCCTCTCGGCTCGGGTTCCAAGTGCTCAAAGTGCTTCCATTTACATCACCGTGTGCAGTGCAGGGCAAAAGGGGCTGCCAGGAAATCTGAAACTAATTTGCTTCCAGTTGACTAGAACAGCATATTTTGCATTAGCTTGCTTCTTTTTAAGCTAACTTTTCTCAAGCGTTAAACTGATGAACTGGGCATTTTCTATGATCAATGGGTAACTGCTGGAGCTACAGTAATCTCTGTGAGTAACCTCTATTTGTAGGTCTATGCAGGCAAATATATTTTTATATATCTATTTCTTTTAAATGCTGCTGTGAAAGTATCCGTCTGTATTATTGACTGCTTTTGCTTACTAGTCTTGTCTTTTGAGCGTCCCAGTAGGAGACCCCTAGGGCTAGACCAGGTTCTGCTGAATCTAGACACAGAGGAGAGCATTTTGCATTTATTCAGGGTTGCCCACGCCAACCATTCTTTAATTCCCAGTCATCAGAGAGATGCCACCTGCACTCCGAATGCCTTTGCCCAGCACCTCACCTGGCTTTATCCTGGAATGTTGATTTCAGCATGTGACATTGAGTTTTTCAAAATTTTTATTTTTATATAGAAAGCAGAATATTATTCTTACCTGTAATCTTACTTCCTTTCTTTTTTTTTTTCCACCAGCTTTTCTGGGAACACACAGTTCTGTCACCCTATGTCTTCTCACTGTTTGTGATATGTTATATAGACAGAAAGAGAGAAAACAGGCTACCCCTCCAGTTTTAGAAAGACATAATGTAGTGCTGGATGGGAATAGGGGAGGAGTTTCTCTTAAAGAGCTCAAATTGCTTTCCATCTGGGTGCCTGAAGTACAGCTTAGTATCTGAATAGCCTTGAAGGGAACAAGGTTAGCTCAAAGATTGCACCAAAATGTTCTAGAAACACAGTAGTTGAGGCAGAGATAGAATCTCTACTGGAAGTTTGTAACAGGTATCTCAGTTTATGCACAGGGATGTGTTTTTCCTGTTTGTTAAAAGTGTTGCTTTTATAGTAATTTAAGATTTTTTTCTCTCTCACCATGGAAACTGACTTCCAACTCTGTAAAATTTGCATTTTTAGATATACTTGGGATAATTGTTTCTGTCAGATCGTAGCCTGAATCCTTAGTGAAACTGTGGGTCTCCTATTGAGCATGAAAACTACTGGGTGCAAATGTGGATCAGCTGAGTTTGCTACACACTGGAGGCTGACTGAGGCTGTGTGTTTACCGCTGCATCTAACATCTGTCTTCATAGACAGCAGTTTAAAGAAGTCCACAGCTGTAGTTGATCATCACTGCTAAGAAGTCCAGTTGTTTGGCATTCATAATTATTTTTTGAAGAATTGTATAGTTTTTTCAAACATCAAATTCTTAAATATCAAAATATTTCCTGCATATTTAGGAAACAATTTATATTAATCTTACCATATCCGTGTTAATTTTAGCAGAGGAAAGCTTGCTGTGAACGAGACTGTGGGGTTATTTAAAAGTTTAAACTTTTTTTTTTTTTGCTTTTAAAAATAAAAACCAGGCCGGGCGCGGTGGCTCAAGCCTGTAATCCCAGCACTTTGGGAGGCCGAGGCGGGTGGATCACAAGGTCAAGAAATCGAGACCATCCTGGTCAACATGGTGAAACCCCGTCTCTACTAAAACTACAAAAAATTAGCTGGGCATGGTGGCACGTGCCTGTAGTCCCAGCTACTCAGGAGGCTGAGGCAGGAGAATTGCCTGAACCCAGGAGGCGGAGGTTGCTGTCAGCCAAGATCGCGCCATTGCACTCCAGCCTGGGTAACAAGAGCGAAACTCCGTCTCAAAAAAAATAATAATAATAAAAACCAAAGAGACAGTAAAGACAGAGAAATTTTACAATTGGGTTTTAAAAGTATGGATTCCCTAACAGAAAGGAGAGTAGAAAATGGACAGAATGGGTAAAACCGGAGGGGCATCTCTGATTAGAAAGTAAAAGCCTGAAAGCAGAAGCATAAGAGTGGATATAAAACCCAAAACTTATGACAAAGAGAGGCAGAAAAAAGTGGAGAATCCCAATGGTTGAAAAAAGGAAACCAACTTTGAATAACAGTAATTTTAAAGTTGAGCTCAAATTCAGTTCTTACAGCTTGATGTTCCTTCTCTGTAACAAGTAGCAGTGCTCTGCACAGTTGTAGAGACTTTGGTTTAAAATTAATGGGCTATTCCCTGTCTCACTCATCATCCCTTTAGTATGCTATAGGTGGTACCACCCCTTAGCTCACAGAGCTTCCTCTGAAATTGACTGAATGGTAAACTAGTATCATTTCTCTAGGGATTCGAGCTGAATAAGAAAAACTGGGTTCTGAATCATTAGTATGTGAAATTCAGTTTGCCGTAAGCACAACTGTAACTATTAATCACTTGGAGAAAGAGTGTCCAATTAATGGAATATTTTCTGTTCGTATGCACATGTTAAAAGCTTGTGTAGTGGTTGGCAGGCCTTTTCCTGTTTTTTGTTTTTTTTCAAACACATAAACAACTTAAATATTTGTGCTTTCAGCATTATCAGTGTCCAGATAATAGCCAGCATCCTGTACTACATACTGTAGCTTTCTCCAAAATGTGACTTTTCTTAGAGTGAAGAGAGTGTCTCACAATATAATGTATTTAGCTTACTCATTTAGTAAATTCTCATGACTTATATTCATTTTTCAGTTATTTTTATCATACCAAATTTATTTTCTATTGCTGGGTAAAATGGGTTAGATTATCCTCTTGTTTTATTTTAATACAAATTTTACTATTGCATTGCAAATTTGAGTCATGTATCACTGTGTTGTTTGTGAAATTTACTGATTATTAAACACAAAATCATTGATCATCATTACAGTTAAGGATTATAGTTGGGCCAGGCGCGGTGGCTCACGCCTGTAATCCCAGCACTTTGGGAGGCTGAGGAGGGCAGATCACAAGGTCAAGAGATCAAGACCATCCTGACCACCATGGTGAAACCTCGTCTCTACTAAAAATACAAAAATTAGCAAGGTATGGTGGTGCACGTGTAGTCCCAGGTACTCGGGAGGCTGAGGCAGGAGAACCCCTTGAACCAGGGAGGTGGAGGTTGTAGTGAGCCGATATTGTGCCACTACATTCCAGCCTGGCGACATAGTGAGACTCCGTCTCAAAAAACAAAACAAAACAGGATTGTAGTTACTTATAGATAAAATGCATTTGAGTTGTTGTTTTTTTTGTTTTTTTGTTTTAACTCTGCAAGGCTTGTTCTTTATATTTGTTTTGTAAATTAAGCGTTTATCTTCCAGTCTTACAGATTAGGAAATGTCAGACCAAGGGGTCAAAGTGGTCACTCTTTCTCCTGCTCCCATCTTTGGGACTGAATTCCTTTCCAACAAGTTAGGGGAGTGTGTTTTTAAGCTTGCTTCTGTAAATGTTCAAGTGTTACAATAACTTACTAATTTATAGTTTTCTTGTCATACTAACTGATAAGATTAATGTAATTTTTAAGGTGTTTACTAACTGATACTTATTAGGGAACAGAGAACCCCAAATTATTGCATTTATGAACATCCAAAGTAGAAAGGAGGGAAAGCAGATTTGTAGTGGCTAGGTTAGCTATAATTTATAAAGGATTGAAAATCCGATGAACTATACTCATAGGAAATAAATCATAAGACCCTTAGTGCACTCTCCATAGTACATTATCAGACTGAATGTCCCCATACATTTCTATTTTACAAGCAATGTATCCAAAGATATGACCATTAAAACCTTGGAAAAATATTCTGGTATTTAAAAATTGGACTTTACCCTTCTCTGAGCCCATTTCTTTAAGTTCCAATGTAATTTTTTTAAGGCTGTGTACAAATAGTAATGTATAGGTTTTGACTAATGGTCAAGTTTTCATTTGCAGTTATTTTATGATCTTTTTGTGTAAGTAGAGAGTCATGGGCCATTGATGGTGACAGAAATTTACTATGAGCTATAAAATCAAGAAGGGGTCATGTTACAGTAGAGGCAATTCTCTTCCTCTCTTGGAAAGGGTTCCGGGGTACTTGCTAACTAGAGGGCAAACCCAGACCGGAATGATCAAGTGTTTCTCTTTGCAGTAATGAGACTGTTTTCTTGGAACTTACTTACTTGATGTCTATTTGATTAAACAGTTGGACCTTTGAGTTAGGAGGCAGGTAGTTGTGATTTCTTTTAAAATAAAAAAGTAGACTTTAAATGTAGTCAGAATAACTTGTAGATATTGTTGTAGTTTTCTGGAGCAGTGTTTCTCATCCTGTAACGTGTATATGAATCCTCTGGGATTCTTGTTAGAAACCAACAGGATTCTGATTGGGAATGTTTGAGGTGATGCCTGAGAGTCGGAATTTCTAACAAGCCTCCTTGGTGATATCTATGCTGCTTTTTCAGGGCCACACTGAGTAGAAAGGTTCTAGGGCAGCACTTTCAATTAGTACTTTCTGTGATGATGGAAATGTTCTCTCGATTTATGTAGATAAATATAGATCTATACAGATATATATATATATATACTCTACTATACAGATATAGAGGGGACTGGGGCAGAGGAGGTGAGGAGATGATGGGCATGGATGCTGGTCGAAGTAGAATGCCATGAGAGATGTGGCAGCCCTTGCATGTAGCATTAAGGAACTGCATTTTCAATTTTATTAAATTTTAATTAAACGTAAATGTAAATAGCCTTATGTGGACATGGCTACCAAATTGGACAACATAGTGTTAGAGAGAAATCCATTGAGAAATTTATACTTAGTGGTAATAGCTCATATAGGATCATGTTGAATTCTAGAACAGACAGAGATTATCTCCAGTGAAATTTACCACTGCTTGAACTTGGTTTGCGAGCAGACAGTATATATAGATGGAGTTGCTAGATTGTGAACTCCTTGATGACAGAGGCCAAGTTGGTCTTGTTTGTTGCTTTTTCTCTAGTGCGTGACACATTCCTGTTGCACAATAAATGTCAGCTGAGTAAATGAGAGAATGAGCTGCTCTAATATCAGCAAGTACCCTACCGTTTCCTGAATCTTATTCAAACTTGGATTTAGAAGCAGTGGGTAGGACTTGGGTGACACTAACATGAAGTATTTTGCTTGTGTTTAATGAGGCTCCTTTTTTTCTTCTGTCTTAAAGTTTTTTATTTGTTTGTTTGCTGAGACAGGGTCTTGCTGTGTTGTCTAGGCTGGAGGGTGGTGGCTCAATCACAGTTCACTGCACCCTCAACCTCCCAGGCTCAAGCAATCCTCTCACCTCAGCCTTTCAAGTGACTGGGACCACAGGCACACACCACCACGCCTGGCTAAGTTTTTTAAAAAATTTTTTGTAGAGATGGGGTCTCCCTATTTCCCCAGGATGGTCTTGAACTCCTGAGCTCATGCAGTCATCTTGCCTCAAGCTCTCAAAGGGTTGGAATTACAGGCGTGAACCACGTCATCTGGCTTTCAACTTCTATTAATTGGTATCCAATAGGATACCAGTTACACATAGGATACCAATACGAATTCTTAATTGATTGATTCAACAAAAATATCCATTTTGCTAGGTAATTTTGTTATAGGCTCTGGGGATATAGTTGTAAAGAAAGCAAACAAAGTTTTTGCCTTATAGAGTTTATATTTTTATAACAACAAAACAAAACAAAAACCTTTTTCTAAAAATAGCATGACTGGTCCCAGGTTCTAGAAAAGATATGTGTGTAGAATCCAGAATTAGGGCTTTCCTGAAGAATGTAGGCATAGATATGCCTGTCAGATAGTCTGGGGAAACCTATGTCCTATTGCTGAGAATCCCTAGTGAAA